CGCGTTGACTGGGTATGGGGCGGTCGGGTACCCGCGGCCATGGGTTTGATTGCCATCCCAGTATGCAGTCTGGGCTTTTTTTATGGCCTCCCCGTTATGATGCTGAGGCCCATTGGGTGTCGATGTTCACGAAGTTGTCCGTCAAACATGAATGATATTATCACGATGCGCAATGGGGTGGGCATGCGTTTCGGTAAACCCGAATCGAATCGACTCGAAACCGATTTCAACCGAACCGAAATCGAACAATTGCTATTTGGTTCGGAATTCGGAAGTCAAATACAGGTATATTGGAAATAGACCTGACAATCGGGTCGGGTAATTTCGAGTTGAGAACTTTGGTTACAGGTCGGGTCATGTTTAGTTGGCTTATTTCGAGTTAAATATTGACCCAACCCATTCGGTTTCGGATCGGGTTACAAGTCATTTCGGGTTATGAGCGTTCTCAGAAACAATATCAAACATGCTTCATATTTTCTTAAAGAACACAAATTTTCACATATGCATGACAATAGTTCACCTAACACATGTCAATTAACATATTCTCAAATCCTCCCATGCTAATGAAATGAAATATAAATTATGCAAATCGTCAAAAAACAATCACAAGAGTAATTCTACTACAAGAAACACATGATATTTGATTATCCTTAAACTCCAAACATGTCATTCAAATCCTGTGATTTTTTTAAACATCTCACCAATTTATGAGTGATTTTATCATATTTTGGGAGTAATATATTAGCTGGAACGGGTCTAATGGGTCGACCCGCTAACCCACCCAACCCGACCCAAAAAATCACGGGTTATTGGGTTTGGGTCATTCGGATTTCGGGTTACAAAAATTTCTAATTTTCGGACGGTTTCGGGTCGGGTCAACGGGTCGGGTTGTAATTTGCCAGGTCTAATCGGAAACCAGGGTTATCATGACCGAACCCGAATTCCGAATTCCGAAACGAAACCCCGAAATTCTGCTACCCACCCCTGCTAAGCCTGTTACTCTACCCAGCCCAATCCCCCACAGCCTACTTTCCAAGCCATTACACCCACCAACCCAGACCTCTCCTGAAGCCCATTACCCCCAAAACCACAACTCACAACCCTACTCTCCAAGACACCAACGGCCGCCGCTCCTCCCTCCGCTGCCGAAACGAGATTCTTCTCCACATGTGAGATGTCTTCGATACAATCACAGCCGCCGCTCCTCCTTCCAATTTCCAGATCTGATAGTGTCGTCCGCGACCGCGCAGCTGTCATTGGTGGCCTCTGTCGGCGCCTGTGACCTTCCTCTTCCACTGTCATCAGTGAGCTTTCTCTATATAAGGGCGGCAACCTAGCAGCGAAGATAGACATGGCAAAGGCTTACGATCAGGTGGATTGGCAGTTTCTAGAAGGGGTGATGAGAAAGATGGGTTTTGCGGAGTAGTGGATAGGCACGATTATGAAGTGTGTAAGCTCGGTCACGTACTCAGTATTGGTTAATGGCCACCAATCGTCGATGATTGTTCCGAGTAGAGGACTACGACAAGGGGATCCCTTGTCCCCGTACTTGTTTCTGTTGTGTGCAGAGGGATTATCGGCGTATACTGAGTTAGCAGTGTGTGAAAAAAGAATTCATGGCTTCCAGACAACGAGAGGGCCCCCAGAGATTTCCCATCTTTTCTTTGCCAATTACAGTATTTTCTTCACTCGGGCAACTGAACGTGAGAGCCTCGAGCTAAAGAATATATTGCAGGACTACGAACGTGAATCAGGGCAGATGGTGAATTTTCCAAAATCGTCGGTCTCTTTCAGTGAGGGGGTGAAGATGCATAACAAGCTTATGACCTGCGGGGTACTAGGAATGCAGAGAGTGGAGAAGCATGAGAAGTATCTAGGGTTGGCCATGGTAGCCGGCCGATCCAAGAATGAGCTCTTTATTGAGCTAAAGGACCGAGTCCGAAAGAAACTGAAGGGTTGGAAAGAAAGGTCCATGTCAGTTGCTGGGCGGGAAGTTCTCATTAAATCGGTGGCGCAAGCACAGTTCTCATATGCGATGTCTGTGTTAAGGGTACCAGATGGTGTGTTAGATGAAGTGCACAGCATGATCACAAATTTCTGGTAGAGGCAACGAGGAGAAGAGCGACGTGCCCACTGGTTGAGGAGGGAGAAGCTAACATGCCCGAAGGAGGAAGGGGGTATGGGATTCGGAGACCTCAGAGGTTTTAATACAGCGATACTTGCGAAGCAGCTGTGGAATCTCTTTAAACGGCCAGAATCTCTTATCACTAAAATCCTAAAGGCAAAATACCACCGGCGTTCTTCGATTCTTGAGGCCCAGCTAGGTTACCGACCGAGCTACATATGGAGGAGTCTTCTTTCGAGTCAAGAATTCCTGTGTAGTAGTTTGAGATGGTGGATCGACAATGGGTCTAATGTCCGTATTTGGGGAGATAGGTGGGTTCCGTCATTTTCCCAACACTTCATCCCTTCGGCGCCAAGGGGTCTGCCAGTGGATGCATCTGTCCGAGAGTTGGTGGACACAGAGATTGAAGTCTGGAATCGAGACTTGCTGGAGAGCTGCTTTCCGTCCGAGGTAGCTCAGTCCATTTACAAAATTCCTTTGAGTGGGAATGGGGAAGTGGATGAACAAATTTGTACGGCCAGTAAAGATGGAGTATATTCAGTAAAGGAGGGCTACAAGATGTGGTTCCAAGGGTTTAAAGAAAAGGAAGGATTGGCGAAGGTGGGGGATGAAGCGATGTGGAAGAAACTTTGGGGGTTACACGTTTCGCCTAAGGTGAAGATGTTCTGATGGAAGTTTGCTCGTGACATTCTCCTGACCGGGGACCATGTGGATGCTCGCAGCAGTAGGTGGGGTGATAATGGTGTCTTCTGCAATGAAAGAGAGACACAAATCCACTACTTCAGTGAGTGCCATTGGGCTTCCCGGCTCTGAAGACAATCTGTTTTTGTCGGCTGCTTTAACAAGCAGGGTGCTGGTGACTGCTTCAGCTGGATTACAGAGGTTTTAAATTCACAGGATGTCGCTGTGGTGGAGGGGTGATGTGTGTTGTTATGGTTTTTGTGGAAGGAGCGAAATGCTCACTATTGGAATGGGCACAAACTAGCGGAGAATGAAATTGTGCTAAGGGCAGGTTTCTTTCTTGAAGACTACAAGAAGCACCATTCGCGCGAGGCAGATGCAGGACTAAGTCAGCCAAGGAGGAGATGGGGTCGCCCTCCCGTTGGTCGGGTGTCTATTACAACGGATGCGGCAGTGTTCTCGATGCGACAAGCAGGCCTGGGTGTAGTCATTCGGGGCAGTGATGGGGCCTTCATTCTCTCAGCAGCAAAACAGATTCAAGGGGTCGAAAATGTGGAGCTGGCCGAGGCTTTAGCAGCCGAGCTTGGAATTCAGATGGCTTCCGCGATTGGGGCCACAAACCCTTTATTAGAATCAGACAATATGACTTTAATTATGAAGTTGCAGAATCCGGATACGGAGTTGACAGAGACAGGTGTGGTGTGCAGGTAGAGGTGTCAATCGGGCGGGTTCGGGCTGGGTTCATTCGGGTTGCGGGTTGGTCGGGTTGCGGGTCGATCGGGTTGCGGGTTCTTCGGGTTCGGGTTGCGGGTTACTCGGGTTACGGGTCAATCGGGCTGCGGGCCAATCGTGTTTCTGGCCAATCGGGTTGCAGGTCAATCGGGCTGCGGGTTAGGCGGTTCGGGTTGCGGGTTTTACGGACCAGAATATCGCGTTACTTTTTAGTGATTACTAGTAACCCATAAATCATAACTATATGAAGCTAGCACAATACTTGTAAAAAACAAGGAATCACTACTCAAAGTCAAAGACTCAAAGGTGGGGGGAAACAAAATTTTGGGAAAACATTATAGGTGGAATTATTGGCGGGTCTCGGCGGGAAGGGGAACCCAAAATTTGGAGAGAAAAGTTTAAAAATAGTTTTTTAATTTTTTAAAAACAAGTGAAATTGTTCATATAAATGTATAGAGAAGTTGTTGGTTTAGCTAGTTAATTGTTTATATGATTTTTGTATTAAACTAAATTATAAAATTTAGAAAAGTTGTTATGAGTTCAATTGTAACTTTACTCGATAACATATAATCTAAACTCTAAATAGTCTATACCCTGAACCCCAAATGATTTTATTCATGAACATGTGTTAATAAATAACTTGATCCTTATTATTTATGATTTTGATTAATCTTGGCTAAACATTAATAGTTTAATACCTTAACCCTAACCCATTACCTTATACGTCGACTCTATATCATATACCCTAAACCCCTAATAGTTTGATTGATGAACATATGTTGATAAAAAAAACTTGATCCATATTAGTTATGATTTTGACTAATCATGGCTAAACCATTAATCCTTATACCCTATTAGTCGACTTTATAATCTATACCCTAAACCCCTAATGGTTTGATTCATGAACATATATTAATAAGAAAACTTGATCTTATTAGTTATGTTTTTGACTAACCGTGGCCAAACCATTAATACCTTATACTCTAACACTACAAGAAAACTGTTTTCTAGTCACAGGATCTCATTCACGGAAAATTTTCCCGTAATAAAACGTATGCTAACAGTCATGGGAAAAAGTCCCATAATTAGTTGTATAATTCTAGTCACGGGAATTTAATCATCTACTTTTTAGTATTCATTTCCCGTGATCAATGGTTAGTCACCGTATTTACCGTGAAGAAAAGCGAAACAAAATATTTCCACTAATTTGTAAGAATTTCATTGATTTTCAAAATTTCCTTTGGCTCCAAAAACGTTCCCACCAAGAAAAGTAAAACAAAAAATTTTCATTAGCGAAAAAGAAAAAATTTGGCCGCCCAAACGATAATTTTTCCCACCAACTTAAACGAATTTTTTTCCCACCCACGATATTTCCCCCCAAAACGAACTGTTTTGCTTCTCTCTTCCTTTCACAGAGACAAAAAGAAACACACCCATCTTCTTTCCCTTTGTTTTCCAGAGACAAACACATTCCTCTTTCTCTTCCTTCTCTCTTCGTTCATAGACAAACTTACCAAAGAAAATATACAAACAAAACGTAACCCTAATATCCTCTTCTTTGCCTAATATGATTTCTCCCTTCATCTTCCTTGTGGTCGATTGGGCGACGGGTAGGAAACAATTCTGGTGGCTTTTTCAAAGGTAGGACAAACTAAGAAAATTGAATGTATGTTAGATTTTGATTCAATTTGGATGCTTTGACCTAATGCAATTTTTATACTTTTCTTGATCTGACTATGGAGTTTCAGTGTCTGGATGAAGCAGACTTTGGAGCTCGCCCGCGGCAGAGAAACCACTCTGCTGTCGGCAGACTTTCTACTCTCAATCTCTAGGAGAAAGAGGAAACCAGATTCAACGAGTAATTTCGGTGAAAATGGTAAAGGCGAGGACATGCGGGTTAATGACACAAATATTATTTTTTTTCAAAAAAAATTTACCACCAATATGGCGGATTAAAAGTATTGACAAGTATATTGTGTTTTGGAGAAACACAATATACTTGTCCATACTTTTTAATCCGCCATATTGGTGGTAAATTTTAAAAAAATAATAATATTTGTGTCTATTACCCCAGGACATGCACACCTTTTCAGATATTTTGGTATAAGGAATGTAGGTGATACTCTCCCAATTACCTTCTAATTATACACTGATAAACTAAGCTGGTTAAATTATAGATTTAGGTTACTTGCCTAGTTAATTTAGGGGGGGGGGGGGGTAGATGGTTTGCGATTCTGACTTTATGGATTGGTGTTAGGTTTGCATTAACATGGTTTGTGTGATTAATTATGAGCTTATCGGTAACTAGGGATTGTGTTTGAAGTCAGTAAAGGGGACCAGGGGAATTTGTTTATTTTGGAGGTCTTCTCGTCATTCATCACATGAAGAGTTTGTTTCCAACAATGAAATAAGGCCGACATATGAGATGCTGCAAGAGAAGATAGAAACAAGGGTATCTATGATTTCCATCTCCACTCAAACAACATTGGCTCAACCACTAGAAGATTGCTTATACTTTGTGCTTATTCAACCACTAGAAGATTGCTAATACTAGGGTTTTGTGTTTTCTTGTTCGTAAAATCAAAAGCATACATCAAACACTTAAAATTTAAAACGATCGATTACACATTGAGATACAAATTGACGTTTGAAAGATCACTATGAAAGTCGAGTTCCTCAAGGAAAGGCTTCAAAATTCCACATCTTATTTGGCAATTAGTGAATAAGAACTAAAAAGATCATATTAATATACCACATCGTCCAACTTAAATGTTGGAAAGCCTTGAAAACGTTTATAAAGAAGGCCCATATATTATATTAGGGCTGGGAAAATAGACCAGACCGTTAGAAAAACCGTGGTCCAAACCGTACCGCACAGTTTGGTCCGGACCGTAGACCGTGAAGTATGGTCTGGTCTGGTCCATGGTCTGTATTATTTTATGATTTGATCTCTTGGTCTGGTCTGGTCTAGACCGCGGTTTACCGGACCAAACCGTTGATCCAACTGACTTGTCAATACGTGTTAACAGCCCATTCGACCACTCTCCAAACTCCCACAACCACACCCAAGTCTCAACCTTAATTTTGTGAATCTCTTCCCTCCTTCATTCCCAACCACATTTAACCACAGAGTAGAGATAATCGTGTTTCCATATGACATTATGTTAATGTTTATGACATTATGGTGCAAGCTGGGATGCTTTTACTTTGTATCTTTGTTATGTACTAAGATTTAGAGTATCAAAATTATTCATGCATATTAGGAATAATGTTTTAAGGCAAATAACAATTATTTTTCTTGGTTATTGGTTCAATTTTTTGTGTGATTGACTAAACAAATTATTCATTTTTCGTTGAGTGTGGTCTATCTGGACCAGACCAGACCGAACCAGACCGCACAGGCGTGGTCTGGACCAGACCGTATAGTCTGTGGTCTGGTCTGTGATCTATATTTTAGCCTCTCGGTCTGGACCGTAGACCGTATATATGGTCTGGTCTGGACCAGACCGCACTTTTTCCCAGCCCTATATTATATTCACTTCCAAGTTTCAATCGGTTGTCAATTTCTTGTGTCTTTGATATTAATACTGGACTGGGACAAGGGTCGGCAGTAGAAGACGAGATGTAAGTTAAATACTTGCCCGAGTTGAACGCTATTTTTCTTTGATGAGTTGAACGCTAAACCAGTCGTGATTACTTATTAGTAGGGAAATGGGTCCAAATCAAGAGGTTTTGTAAGTCACGTTGATAAAAGGGACATTGCTAAATCAGAATTATGGATCTTTCTTCAATTTCCACAATCTGAATGCAATCAGCTCGCTATGTTGAATGTTCCCCTGCCTGGATCGGCTGGTGTATAAAAAGGCTGCCTGAATCTTCTATTTCATCATATATATCTCAATTGAGTTCCACCAAAGCATTCCACAAATGGCAGTCCCGAAAAGCAAGTTGCTCTTAGTGGCTTCCGTCTTCATTCTCGGCGCTTTGGCTTCTCAGGCCATGGCACGCTACACCCCTGACGAGGCTTCCATGCGCCTTAGGCACGAGCAGTGGATGACTCGTTATGGACGAGTTTACGGGAGTTCCCACGAGAAGGAGGTACGATACCAGATATTCAAAGACAATGCAGCTCTCGTCGACTCGTTCAATGCCGCTGGAGACAAGCCTTACAAGCTAGGTACCAACCAGTTTGCGGATTTGACGAACGAGGAGTTCAAAACAACTAGGTGCAGGTTCAAGGGTCACATGTGTTCCCCGCAGGAAGGATCATTCAGGTATGAAAATGTGAGCGCAGTGCCAACCACCATGGACTGGAGGAAGAAGGGAGCCGTCACTCCGATCAAAGACCAAGGCCAGTGCGGAAGTTGCTGGGCGTTTTCAGCTGTGGGCGCAATGGAAGGAATCACTCAGCTCAGTACCGGCAAATTGGTATCTCTTTCGGAGCAAGAGTTGGTTGATTGCGATACCAAAGGAGAGGACCAAGGTTGTGGTGGTGGGTTGATGGATGACGCTTTCAAGTTCATTATCCAGAACAAGGGCTTGACCACCGAGACCAATTATCCCTACACTGCTGCCGATGGATCCTGCAGTGCTAGCAAAGAAGGAAATCCCGCTGCTACGATCAAAGGATATGAAGACGTGCCTGCCAACAACGAAGTCGCATTGATGAAGGCAGTGGCTAGTCAACCGATTTCTGTGGCAATTGATGCAGGGGATTCCTCGTTCCAGCTCTACGAGAGTGGGATATTTACAGGAGAATGTGGGACTGAACTGGACCATGGAGTGACTGTTGTTGGATATGGTGAGAGTGGTGGGATGAAGTACTGGCTGATCAAGAACTCTTGGGGTGCTCAATGGGGAGAGGAAGGATACATCCGAATGCAAAGAGATGTCTCTTCCAAGGAAGGCATTTGCGGTATTGCTATGCAAGCTTCTTACCCCACTGCCTAAAATCAAACATTCTGCAATATGCATGTAGTCACTACTCAATACATATGTTCATGTTTGTAAGATACATTTGCGAACTAAATATGTAAGTATTACGTACTTCGTAATGTTGCTCATTGTTATCTCTGAAAAACAAGAGGGCATGGCTTATGTGCATATACCTTTAAGTTATCTTGTAACTCTGTCTAGTAATTAAGATGTTTCTTTCTCTATAACTCTTTGCTTTTGTTCCTTCCTAACAAATGAGTCCATGTCTTAAGTAACTTAACTTTCTATTACACTTTTGTTCCGATCTACCAAAAATTTAATAATGTACCTCTTCTAGTACTATTTTTGATTCATTTTACGAAGGGCAATGTCTATCATAACCATAAGAAACTTGGACACGTCATTACTGATTGATCAACGAAGGAATCCTGGTCTATAAGGATGTGGAATTTTTTTGTCAATAGATCACTCTTCAAAATTGGAAATGTTCAGATACAAAGAGACCAACAACATTCTCATGCATTTCCTAAGCTCGGAAGTCGCAAGCGATACGCATTCAGATTAATCTTCTCCACAATTTCAACAGGGCCAATCTTCTTCACGGCGAGCTTGCTATACTCACGGGCGGGAAAGCGATCCTTGGTGAGGATAGCCCAAACAAAGTCACCAACGTCGAACTCCACAGCGCGGCGGTGCTGATCGGCACGAGTCATGTATGCTGCCGTGGAAGCCACTAGACGATCATGCGTAGCGGAATGAATCAAGGCCAGCTAACTCACGAACTCGGCAGCTGTAGCGTGAGGCCGGACCTTGTTAGGGAGGGCGAGCAGATCAAGAGGCCCCCGCGGGGACAACCCATAGACAACGCGGAACGGAGGGAAGCCTGTTGAGCGATTGACCGCGTGGTTATGAGCAAACTCCGCTTGAGGGAGCTTAAGATCCCACGCTTTAGGGTGATCAACAACCAAACTGCGTAAGAGATTCCCCAACAAAAGATTAACAACCTCCATCTGCCCGTCGGTCTGCGGATGGTAAGCACTGCTAAAGTTCAGCTGCGTATTAACCATAAGCCACAAAATGCGCCAGAAATGACTCACAAAGCTGGTATCGCGATCCGAGATGATAGACGCAGGAAGGCCGGGGAGGCTGTAGATGTCTCGGAAATAGAGCTGGGCCATGGCGACCACATCTGAAGTCTTCTTGCATGGTATAAAATCGACCATCTTGGAAAAACGATCCACGACCATAAAAATGGAGTCAGACCCACACTGGGTGAGAGGGAGACCGAGGACGAAGTCCATACTCACATCGGACCAAGGTTGGGTAGGAATAGGTAGAGGCCGATACAATCCGACATTGGTGGCAGCCCCTTTCGCCAGTTTGCACGTGCGACAGCGGGCGACAAACCGGCCGACCTCCTTGCGCATTGAGGGCTAAAAGTAAGAAGCTGACAGAAGCTGGAATGTACGGTCGCGGCCCACATGACCCTCATTGTGGAGTTCTTGAATCATCTTCAGGCGTAGGCTACAAGAAGGGACGCAGAGTTGAACCCCACGAAAGAGGAACCCGCCATCCAACACAAAGTCGGTTGACTCGCCGCGTTGAAGACGATCCAAAATCTGCGAAAAATAAGGGTCATCAACGTAAAGAGCCATGAACGAATCAAAGCCCGGCACCTGTACGCGCATCTCTGTCAGTAGCCCACTTCTCCGGCTTAATGCGGCCGCCACGCGATTAGAAACTCCAGCCTTGTGTTTGATCACAAAAGTGAATTGCTGCAGGTACGAAATCCAGGATGCATGACGATGAGAAATCTTGTCTTGGCTGCCCAGGTGTTTGAGAGAATCATGGTCGGTGTAGAGGAAGAACTCGCGGTGGAACAAATAGTGGCGCCAATGTTTAATGTC